AGTTCACTTACTTTTTTTTTTTTTTTTTTTTGTTGTTTTTTTTTTTTTTTTTGGTACTGGGAATCGAACTCAGGACCTTGCGCTTGCTAGGCAGGCGCTTGTGCCGCTGAGCTACATCTCCAGCCTTGATCTTTCTAAATGATAGAAGGTGATGACAAGCCTGGCAAGTGCTTAAAATCAAAGTACAGTCAGCATCCTCTGAAGACTCAACTGAGGGTCGAAAATAACTGGGAAGAGTTGTGCCTGTAGCAAACGTGCACAGGCCTTTTTTTCCTTGTTACTTCCTTAAAAATACAGTGTGACAACTGTGTACAGAGTGCTTGCCTTGTACTAGATATTATTATTATTATTACTATTATTATTATTATTATTTGGTCTTGTTGAGACAGAGTCTCCTTATGCAGTTCAGGCTGGTCTTGAGCTCACTTTGTAGCCCAGGCTGGTCTCGAACTTGAAAAGATCCTCCTGCCTCAGCCTCCCGAGTGCTGGGATTACAGGCATGCGCCACCACGCCCGGCTCTGTACTAGGTATTATTAGTCATTAAAAACTGGTCGAGAGGCTGTGTGAAGAATATATGGAAATACCGTTCTACTTTCTTCGTTTATTTTTCGTGGCGGTGGGGATTGAACCAGGGCCTCAAACATCGCTGATCTGCAACATCAGCCCTTTGCCATTTTACGGAACTTGAGCACCCTCGATTTTGATACTGGGGAGAGATCTTGGATCCAATCTTGCAGGACTGTGTTGATTTTATTTATTTTTTTTTTTTATTTTATTTTTTTTTGGTTTTTCTCCGGTACTGGGAACCGAACTCACGACCTTGCACTTGCCAGGCAGGTGCTTTTGCCGCTGAGCTAAGTCCCCAGCCCCAGGACTGTGTTGATTTTAAACATCCTATTGCCAGATGCAAAATCAGCGGCTGCTATGGAAGTTACAGAAGTTCATTTGGCAAAGCAGTAGATCCTGTGCAAGTCAGATGCCTTTTTAGGGTATCTGTTTGGGGAAGGAACCTTTTAAATTCTTATATTTAAACCTGGGACATGACCTTTGTCATAACTCGGGTTTTGTAGGTTCCCAAACTGCCGTGTGCCACAGCGCCGCCTATCGGTGGCACTCAGCAAGCCCCTCTCTGTTCTATTCCCTCCACCCCTGGAGTCCTATCAAAATAAAGACGTCATTATACGTTTTCCAGCAGAAAATTTCTTGCCTCCCTGCTGGAGTCCTTGAAGTCCTGCACATGGATTAAAACAGGAAGTTTGTTTTAACGTATTTTTAATTTCGTCCTTCATTAGCTGGACTTCACCGTATAGCTCATGGTTGTTGGACACACGCTCACATGCTTTTAAGGGAGGAACCTGACTCCTAGAGTTCCATGTGCCATTACTAAATCACATTTCTGGATCAGAAGGGCGAGGATATCGGTGAGTTTCAGTGCAGCAGCCCTTGTTGCCTAAGAGACGGCCCGAAAACAGCCAGCACCACTGGGGACCGCAGCGGTCCAAGCCGTGACTCTCATTTTTTTTTTTTTTTCTTTCCGGTACCGGGAATCGAACTCACGACGTCGCGCTTGCCAGGCAGGCGCTGTGCCGCTGAGCTAAATCCCCAGCCCCAGTGGCTCTCATTTAACGCGGGGAGGAGGTTGGCCCTGTCGAGACCCAGTGTTCCGCTGCGCGTTTTATACTTTTGTATATAAACACTGCTGGAATACTGTTTGGCAAGGATACCTTTAAAAAAGCCCTGGTCAGCAGTATATTTCTTCCACTTCCTGTTTTTGGGACTCCATCTCCTCGCTGTCTCAGGATCTGAGTTTGCTTGTGTTTAACTGGGATAAGCCGGCAAGCATGGGAGGTGGAATGAAATAGCAGAATCCGGCCTCGTCTCTTTCACTGGTTGTGCCGCCGAGCTGTTCTTCCTCTTGCTGTGCTTTCAGCTCCGCCCGGATTTGCTGGCGCTTGACCCTGGGAATGTGGAGTTTAGTTATTGCCAGGCAGAGCTCTTCTCTGTGGTCCTCCCGGTGTTCCCACACTTCCCTGGCCACCTCCCTGCCTCGCCAGTGGCTGTGGGGACCGGGAGACAGGAAAGCCCGCAGGAGAGCGCTTTTGCGCTGGGCTGTGACTGGGGCTCTCCTTTCCCTGCTATCTGCTTGTTCTCGTTAAAATAGTATTTCAGCGCAGCGGATGCAGCCACTTGTGGTAGGAGCTTTCCATTGAGAACAGTAGACACCTACCCGTTGTGATGGGAAAGCCTGTTTACCTCGGGCTAGCGCAGATTGTGGGTGATCCCTGGGGAGGTTCCCTGTGACAGGTGGCTCCCAGCTGGGAAGGAAGGGCCGGGTTCCCAGAGAAGCTGCCCCTGCCCTGGCTGCTGTCTCAGAGGTAGAGGCTCCCAGTGGCCGCAAGGCGGAACAGGTCCTGTGTGGGCTGAGCTCCCTCTGACTGTGGTTTTGCTCACAGCTTCTGGGTATTTCTGATTCGCCACTTAGTAGCCCCCTTTCCATTTCCCTTCTAATGAGGCCCGCGTACTGAGCAGTCCTTTTTGAATGTTTGTTTGTCTGGTTTTTGAGACAGGGCCTCACCTTGTAGTTCAGGCCAGCCTTGAACTCAGTCTGTAGCCCAGGCTGGCCTCGAGGCCCTGGCGATCCTCCCGCCTCAGCCTCCTGGGATTACAGGTATGCGCCACCGTTCCCGGCTCACGCCAGTCATTATGCTTCCCCCCACCTGCAGTCAGTACTCTCAGAGAGGCTGCAGCGGCTGTGCAGGGACACCCAGCTCGTCAGGAGGAAGTTGGTATTCAAAGGCACCCTGGTTGCAGAATCCACCTGTGAGAGCCCAGGAACTGTGCCATGTTCAGGGGCAGATTTGAAACAAGGGACAGTGAGGTAGAGACGTTCGTCACGGAATGTTTCATTTTTTACTGCTGAGAACAGTTTTTATCCACTCCAGCCACCCAGTGTGTGAGGGAGGCAACTTTTCAATCAAGCAGTGACTTAATTCGGGCTCAGGTGAGCGTCATGCAAAGAGCCGAGACCAGCGCAGTGCCTTGCGGAGCCCTGCTCGTCGCTAAGGGCTTTCATGGTACACAGCAGTGAAAGCCGAGGCAGGCAGGAGTTAGTGACGCCAGATTAAGAGTTCAGGGAGATCTTGGGTGCTCTCTTAAGTCCTGAATTTATCATAATATTTAATTAACACTTTTTAATTTTTTTTTTTTTTGAGACAGGGTCTCACTGTGTAGTCCAGGTTGGTCTTGAACTCACTACATAGCCAAGGCTACCTTCAAACTCAGAGATCCTCCCACCTCAGCCTCCCAAGTGCTGGATTTACAGGCATGCACCCCTGTGTCCAGCTCTTTAAAATATAAAATAAATGTTTGTTTGTTCATT